CCCCAAAACCCCAAAACCCCAAAACCCCAAAACCCCATACACTCAAAATAAATCGGAAAGTAAATTTATAACAATATGGAAAAGGAAGCTGTAAACTTTTCAGAGTCTCTAAACACTAATGACGAGACACACGAGTTCAAAAACGACCCAGAAAGGGTATCCAAAGTGATAGACTCAGATGAGATCCCTGCTGACTCTCTTAAGTTCAACTATTTCTTATTCTTACTCATGGGGATTGTCCTTGTACTTCCTCTAAATAGCTTGATCCAAGCTATTAGCTTTTTCGAATCTAACCTTCCGGGAAGAGATATTGAGTTTATCGTAGGAACTCTAACCAATGGGCCAGTGTTCTTAGGGCAGGTTATGATGCTCCTTATTGGGAAATGCCTCAATACTAAGATGACTATTGTTCTTAGCTTATATGGTATGTCGGTAATGAGCTTTGCAATCCCATTCATTACTGAATATATCAATAATACAGATGCCCTCTTTTACATTGTGCTGGCCTCGATCTTTATATTCTGCCTATTCACAGGATTTTACCAGAGCTCAGGAAGAGGATTCAACGCTATTTTCCCTAAGACCATGGTCGCATCCTTTAGTAATGGGACAGGATTAAGTGGGATACTTGTTGGAGTTCTCAGAGCAATGGCATTAGGTGTTTTCCCAGTTGATGAGACCCTCCCTAGAGATCCAAACATGTTTGCTGGAACTAAACTGTACTTTGGTATCTCTGCTGGTCTTCTCTTTGTATGAGCAACACTCACCATCTTTTCTTTCAGGACAGGATATAACATTTACTATTACCAACAATCTTTGAAGAAGAAGTCTAATAAAGATACGAAAGAGGAGAGACAAACTATGATTCAGAGTGCCAAGACATTTGCAATGACTCCTGACAATACGATAGTTAGAGATAAAGATGATGAAGCTATTGATGGGGAAGAGGAGAAGGTATCTGTCATCAAGATACACAATTCAGACTGGTTGAATTTTTGGGGGATATTCTTAAACTTTTCAATGCAATTTGCTATTTTCCCAGGGCTATTCATTCATGGAGATATTACCTTTATCCACGATTACCATTGGAGAATCTGGTTCATTATCTTCATTTCAGTTTTCTTTGATGCCGTGGGAAGAGTTGCTGCAGGGTTTATCACTCTAAAATCTCCAATTATAGCATTCATTTTGACACTGTGAAGAACATTGGGTATTGTAGTCGGGTTCCTTACCGCACTCGAAGTTGGATTCTTCAGAAATGACTACATTAACCTTGCTAATATCATCATCTCTTCCTTTGCCTTCGGGTATTTGGGAACCTGTCACATCATCATGGCTTGTATGGCACCGAAGCCTCATGAAATGGAAGCAGCAGGAAAAATGATCGCGTTTTTCCTCCAGATCGGACTACTTATAGGAAGCTTGGTTTCAACTTTTGTAGTGGCCAGGTTCTTTTAAATTATCCTTTTCTAAATTGGGTTCAATTGTCAACACACTATCTTAGTTGGTGGAGTGATATTTAAGTTTACTTAGAACTCCTATTCAAGTTTTGGCCTGAGATGTTCAATCTATGTTGTGTTAGGTATTGGTCCAACAGAATTTTCAGTTTTAAAAATTAAAATAGGGGTTTTGGGGTTTTGGGGTTTTGGGG